GAAACATTATGCTTTGGGGGTGTTTTTCTGCTAAGGGGACAGGACAACTTCACCGCATCAAAGGGACGATGGACGGGGCCATGTACCGTCAAATCTTGGGTGAGAACCTCCTTCCCTCAGCCAGGGCATTGAAACTGGGTCGTGGATGGGTATTCCAGCATGACAATGACCCAAAACACACGGCCAAGGCAACAAAGGAGTGGCTCAAGAAGAAGCACATTAAGGTCCTGGAGTGGCCTAGCCAGTCTCCAGACCTTAATCCCATAGAAAATCTGTGGAGGGAGCTGAAGGTTCGAGTTGCCAAACGTCAGCCTCGAAACCTTAATGACTTGGAGACGATCTGCAAAGAGGAGTGGGACAAAATCCCTCCTGAGATGTGTGCAAACCTGGTGGCCAACTACAAGAAACGTCTGACCTCTGTGATTGCCAACAAGGGTTTTGCCACCAAGTACTAAGTCATGTTTTGACTCCTGGACTTCCTGACGGGCCGCCCCCAGGTGGTAAGGGTAGGTAACAACACATCTGCCACACTGATCCTCAACACGGGGGCCCCTCAGGGGTGCGCGCTCAGTCCCCTCCTGTACTCTCTGTTCACCCATGACTGCATGGCCAGGCATGACTCCAACACCATCATTAAGTTTGCCGACGACACAACAGTGGTAGGCCTGATCACCGACAACGATGAGACAGCCTATAGGGAGGAGGTCAGAGACCTGGCCGTGTGGTGCCAGGACAACAACCTCTCCCTCAACGTGACCAAGACAAAGGAGATGATTGTGGACTACAGGAAAAAAAAGAGGACTGAGCACGCCCCCATTCTCATCGACGGGGCTGTAGTGGAACAGGTTGAGAGCTTCAAGTTCCTTGGTGTCCACATCACCAACGAACTATCATGGTCCAAACACACCAAGACAGTCGTGAAGAGGGCACGACAAAGCCTATTCCCCCTCAGGAGACTGAAAAGATTTGGCATGGGTCCTCAGATCCTCAAAAAATTATACAGCTGCACCATCGAGAGCATCCTGACTGGTTGCATCACCGCCTGGTATGGCAACTGCTTGGCCTCCGACCGCAAGGCACTACAGAGGGTAGTGCGTACGGCCCAGTACATCACTGGGGCCAAGCTTCCTGCCATCCAGGACCTCTATACCAGGCGGTGTCAGAGGAAGGCCCTCAAAATTGTCAAAGACTCCAGCCACCCTAGTCATAGACTGTTCTCCATGCTACCGCACGGCAAGCGGTACCGGAGTGCCAAGTCTAGGTCCAAAAGACTTCTCAACAGCTTCTACCCCCAAGCCATAAGACTCCTGAACAGCTAATCATGGCTACCCGGACTATTTGCACTGCCCCCCCACCCCATCCTTTTTACGCTGCTGCTACTCTGTTAATTATTTATGCATAGTCACTTTAACTCTACCCACATGTACATATTACTTCAACTATCTCAACTAGCCGGTGCCCCCGCACATTGACTCTGCACCGGTACCCCCCTGTATATATAGCCTCCCTACTGTTATTTTATTTTACTTCTGCTCTTTTTTTTCTCAACACTTTTTTTGTTGTTGTTTTATTTTTACCTTTTTGTTAAAAATAAATGCACTGTTGGTTAAGGGCTGTAAGTAAGCATTTCACTGTAATGTCTGCACCTGTTGTATTCGGCGCATGTGACCAATACAATTTGATTTTGATTTGATTTGATGTTTTGCAGAGGGGTCAAATACTTATTTCCCTCATTAAAATGCAAATCAATTTATAATATTTTTGACATGCGTTTTTCTGGATTTTTGTTGTTGTTATTCTGTCTCTCACTGTTCAAATAAACCTACCATTAAAATTATAGACTGATCATGTCTTTGTCAGTGGGCAAACATACAAAATCAGCAGGGGATCAAATACTTTTTTCCCTCACTGTATATTAATGTTAAGTACTTTCATTCTCATAGACCTCAGTTCTAGACCTCTCTAATATTAGGCTAACTGGTTGTAATTTGAACTTTTATTTTTCTTAATGGTTTGGGATGATGACATAATGTTTTTGTGAGATGAGGGGGCCTAGTGTTATGGATGCCTTGAGTAGATAGACATATAATTCAGAATAAATAAAAAATCCAGTGAATATTGTAATTTTGTTAAAACACGTCTTATGTAATGACAAAATACATACCCAAACTATTCATTTTCATTCTTGACGTACACATTGCAAACTTTGTTTTTGCTGATTGTCGTCCTCTTTTGCTGATGTGTTCACTCTGCCTGTATGAGTGCCTCAGGAGGAAGCATGGTTGTGTAAGAGCTGAAGCCTATTGCAGAGTTCTTCATCACAATCCTGTTCATACACCAAACAGAAGAAAATTGACTAAAACAGGGAGGGACAACCTGGACTTGGCCAATAAGAAACATTTACGTTTTCCACTGCAAAATGTTCAAAAATGTTTTCATTTGCAAGCTTTAATGAACGACTCAACCCTTGCTATTCCTAGCCTGTGGTTGGTCACTTGGTGAAGCAGCCTGGGCAGAATCCTGGATCATATTCATTAGGGCACACAATTGTAAACTAAAATGAACATTTCTTGTTGGACAAGTCTAGGTAGTCCCTCCCTGTTTCAGTTTGTTTTCTTCCATTTGGTGCCTAACGAACACTGATTTGGTAAACCTGGGCATAAATCTGAGCTGTGAGAACACCAGGTCTAGGAGGGCACCTTCCTCTCCCCACCAGTCTTTGAAGCCTTCCCCGCCGGGCTTTGTTGTTTCACAGGGTGGAAGAGTTGGAAGGGGTGACTCAACTCACAGCCAAGCCAATGTTCCCTCCACAGAGTGACTCTAGGGAACCCTCCCCTGTTCACGCTTCTGTTCACTTTTATGTTGTATCCAATCAACTATTGGATCTCATCTGTGGCTGGGATAAGAGGGAGAGGGATGGGGGCGAGGGGAGGAGGGGTCATGTCTGATCTGATGAACACACATCTGAACTGTTGTTTGCCACATGGGCGATGTGCTCAGATATAGCGATCTGATCTTTCAATTAATCCTCGCCAGGTGATTTGATACTTTTAATAGCCTACTACCTTGTATTCCAAGTAGACCACCAACACTGTTTTGCTGCTGCCAATCTGTTTGGCCTCTCTTGTTCTCTGTACTGTTGTCAGTGGTGTACTGTTGCTTCCTTGACAGTTTCCCTGGTATTAGGTCTACAGTATAGACCCAACTTTATATTACAGCTAACTTTTCAACAGTGTGTTGGGATGAACCGTCAGGTAGTCACTATCCTCCCAGGGATATAGTTCATCATCCACCAACCCTCCCACAACCCACCCGCCCCTTCCCAGATCCTCTTAAAGGGATAGTTACCGGAGCTCACTGCTGGTGCCCAAAATAGCTCCATGTCAGAATGCCCAGTGCCCTGGCGAGAGATAGGATAGCGGTCCATCGCACCCCCAGCTGCCGGAGTGCTGAGAGAAAGCAGTTACTCTGACAGATACTCTCAGTGACTTCTCCGTGCCAGGGCTCATCTCTCTCTCTGTCTGACAACAATACAACACGTTACTCATCACAACACAAACCGCAGGCAGGGTTTTGATTGCTTGTGTCCTACAAAAGTGATCTGATTCTGTGGATGTTGCATGTTTGGGGCTCAACAACAGCTACGTTTGTGTGACTGCTTTAGTGACATTTTCTGTGCAGTTAAATTAGACATAGGGTGAGAGCATTCATTTACCAAACTTGGTACTTTTAATTACAGTGTGTGGCATTGTTAAATTATAGCATTCCCTGGCACTCTTTCCGGAAAGGTCATAAGAATTTATGCCCCTAGAAAAATAACAAAACATTATTCAGCTACCATATTTTAGTGGGTTACTATGGACGTGTACATGCACCCATGATAACAATTACAGAAAACACAAAAAGGGTGTACTTAGAATTGGAAATTGTAAATCTAGGAAATGCATCTTAAAAACGATGATAAATGATATTCTGCAGTTCAGACATGTTTTGTCATGCCACCGTATGGGAATTGTGTGTGTGTGGTGTGGTGGGTTTGGGGCCTCCCGTTAGCGGCCTCCCGGGGTCTGAAGTGGGGCCTGTCCATTAACACGTCCTCCAGATACAGAGAGAGGTGTCTGGTGGGTGATAGCGCCCATCACCCCACACCCTCACACCCTCCCTCCGCATGCCAAGGCCACGGTCAAGGCCGCTGAGAGACAGGTGTTGCCTGGCCTGGCAAGCAGGCTGCGGGTGTGATGGGCATTGCAGGGATGGGTGAAGGGCTGGGGTGGTGTGAGGGGGAGAGTGACTGGCATGATAGCAGGTTGGTGGCATCATGTCCTTTCAACTCCCCCGCCTCGCTCTTCCTGACGCCCACCTATTTCACCCCAGCCCCCCTAACCCGGTCCGTGTCTGAAGAAGCCGGGTGTCGGAGTGACTCACCTTTTTGTCACAAGAATGTGGGGGGTGTTTCTAACGTGGGGTGGCATGCAGTGGCATTGCAGTGCAGTTAGTCATGGAAAGGGTTACTCATAGAAATGTATCTAAACTAGTTCCACTATGTCATGTACATTTGAACAACAATCACAAAATACACTGGTAAGCTTATAAACTGTAAATTAGATGCGTTAAATTTCAGCTTATTGAATTAGTATTATCTGTACCACATGACGGGGATGACTGGTACGGGACCTTGTCGCATGGATAAAGCTCAAGGCCTGTGGACACGGTTATTTATCTTAATGGCCCCGCTTCGCTAAGATAACAGGCGTGGGATGAGCTCGCTGTGCGGCAATGACAAGCCAGTGAATGTGCATGAACTGTACACACTAAGGAGGTAGCATATTGGCATGGGATCCAATCTGCAGCATCATTTTATACAGAATGACCTTGTCTACGTTTTTTTTGTGGCAAAGGGACATATTTGGGTCTACTGACAGAACAAAAATGCAACATGCATCTGGACTAGGGCCTAACGTTTAATTTTCTTGACGTTTTCTTTCTGTTTTCTTCACAGGCATTGCCCAGATGGGTTTCAATGTTTGAAGGCAGGAAGGAACCCTAACTATGGTTACACCAGCTTCGACAGCTTTGGCTGGGCATTCCTGTCCCTCTTCCGGCTCATGACACAAGACTACTGGGAAAACCTCTATCACCAGGTCAGTATGGACACCAGGAAATGACCAGGTTAATTTCAAACCATATCCACATACAGGTCATAGTCTGAAAGACCATACGAAGAAAATAAGTATATTTGCTTACAGTAATATATTTAAGGTCTTAGAGGTCTTCTACAATCTTCCACAATCTTAAGCCTAAGCTTAAACCAACATTAACTTGCAAAAATCAAACCCTGTGTCTTTTATAACATACTTTTTGCCAAACCATCCATCCATCCATCCATCCATCCCTCCATCCATCCCTCCCCAGACTCTGCGGTCAGCAGGGAAGACCTACATGGTGTTCTTTGTGGTGGTCATCTTCCTGGGTTCCTTCTACCTGGTCAACCTGATCCTAGCTGTTGTGGCCATGGCCTACGAGGAACAGAACCAGGCCACCATCCAGGAGGCCTGGCAGAAAGAGAAAGAGTTCCAGCTGGCCATGGAGCGCCTCAAGAGGGAAGCGCAGGTAAGACGTAAGGTTTTACGTCATGGAATTTAATTGATGCTTTCGATGTTGGGAATTTGGACCGTAGACATTTCTTTCAATTGGTTAGCTGGTATGGGAGTTTAGTACATTTTGAATGACACAATATTCTGAAAAGGACTATGGCTATTTGAGCTGACCCTTTGCATTTCCTACTCAGAAAGCTCAGGATACAGAATCATTGATGTCCCCGGGCCTGGCTCTCCCTGATGACAAGGAACTGCAGAGCAGGAGGAGAAGTCTGGAGGGGCTGGTGGAGGAGGTAGAGAACGGGGGAGACGTGGAGAAGGGATACGTGAAGATGTTGAAGGTGGATACAGTGGATGGGGGCAGGGTAAATATCATCATTATGCATTCTTAATGGTTTCATATTTCATCATGGATAAAACACCATGGATAAATAAAAACATTCTGAATCTAATAGTATGCTTTCAGGTTTTGTATATAGGTATATATTTTGGGACATCGATTTTTCTCCCCTAATACCGTTACCAGTCTGAAACTACAGAGATCAATGGCAAGCCTAATTTGTGAAAGGATTATCTGATTTCCAGGGTTTGAGTCAAGTATCTTCCTCTTTTCGAACAGAGGACTTCCCTACCATATAGCCCACTTAAACTTTTTCTCCACTCCCCCACCAGCCGACACATCCACTCCTCGTCCGCACCATCTCCACACGCACCAGACGAGGCAGCAACGTCAGCATCTTCAGCTTCCGTCCCCGGAACAAAGACTCGGAGGGCGACTTCGCCGATGACGAGTTCAGCATCCATGGGGACAATGAGGGAACACACAGTCGTGCTGGGTCCCTGGTGATCCCATGGAGCACCAGACGCAGGCCCAGTACCTACAGCACCGGCAGCCGGGGTTCGCAGGTCTTCCTCAACGTCAATGGGAAGCTGTTTGTGGCCATGGACCAGAATGGGGTCGCCCCGCAGGGACTCCCAGCCTGCACCATGGAGAAGGTCAAGGAGGAGAGTGTGAGTACTGGGTTACTGAGTTGAGTGTGTAGCTTTGTAAGCATGTGTGTGTGTGTGTGTGTGTGTGTGTGTGTGTGTGTGTGTGTGTGTGTGTGTGTGTGTGTGTGTGTGTGTGTGTGTGTGTGTGTGTGTGTGTGTGTGTGTGTGTGTGTGGACGTGTTTAACTATACTTGTGGGGACCAGAAGTCCCCACAAGAATAGTAAACCAAGAAAAGTTTGACCAACTGGGGACATTTTGTTGGTCCACACAAGGGGGCGGCAGGTAGCTTAGTGGTTAAGAGCGTTGTGCCAGTAATCGAAAGGTCGCTGGTTCTAATCCCCGAGCCGACTAGGTTAAAAATCTGCCGATGTGCCCTTGAGCAAGGCACTTAACCCTAATTGCTCATGTAAGTCGCTCTGGATAAGAGCGTCTGCTAAATGACGTAAATGACGTAAATGTAATGTAAATGTCTAAGAGATAGGGTTAGTTTTAGGGTTAGGAGATAAGGTTAGGTTTTTGGGTTAAGGTTAGGGTTAGGGTTAAGGTTAGGGTTAGGGTACGGGTTAGGTTTGGGGTTAGGGGTTAGGGAAAATAGGATTTTGAATGGGACTGAATTGTATGTCCCCACAAGGTTAGCTGTGCAAGACTGTGTGTGCGTGTGTGTGTGTCCGTGTGTGTGGTTACATATGTGCGTGCATCATGGGAAATCACCCGGTGGATAACTGGTGATACTACTATGGCAAAAGCCTGTATCAAAGGAATGTCCCCAGCTCATATCCTGTAGAGTAGACTTAGTAGCCCCTGGCTGCCTGGAGTCACCGGCCAAGACCTCTGTGACCTGACAACAGCTCCCTCTTCCCTGCTAGGCTCCTCAACATTAACACAACACACTGTTTGATTTGCTGTTTCAAAACAGATGATTCACACTACCCCGCAGGGATGTTAGCAACTGTGTAGGAACGGAAGAGGGAATAGCATAAATGCAATTGCATTTTCTCTAATACTCAATGAATCGCTTGCCATGCTATCGCTGCCTTGTGTTTGTGTTTGTGTGTGTGCATGTGTGCATATGTGCTTGTGTGTGTGTGTGGTTTGGTTTTACTATCCTTGTGGGGACCAGAAGTCCTCATAAGGATAATAAAACAACGAAACATTTTGCCGGTCCCCACAAGGAAAACATCTATTTTAGGCTTAGGGGCTGGGTTACAATTAGGGTTAGGGTTAGAATTAGGGTTAGGCGTTAGGTTTAGGGTTAGCAGTTTGGGTTAGGTTTAGATTTAGGGTTAAGAGTTAGGGAAAATATGATTTTGAATGGGAATAAATGTTTTGGTCCCCACAAGGATAGTAAATGTGTGTGTGTGTGTGTGTGTGTGTGTGTGTGTGTCTGTGTGTGTATCTGTCTGTGTGCACAAATAAAGAACATGATGCTCCTCTCTCCCAGGAAACATACTGCTCTCAGAACAGACTGCTCCCAGAACAGCATGGGTGTCGGTGCACTCCAATGATCCTATCTCTATTACTATTCTATATATCTCTTGTTCATTCTCTCACACACACGTGCACACAAACGCACACACACACATGCATGCACACACACACACAACTAGCAAAAGTGTGTCATGTAAACAAATGATGAACATGCTCGAAAAAGAAAGATAAAAATCTAAAGAATAGATTCTATTTCAAAGGAATTTGAACAACATGTTTGTCTATTTACCCCAAACCAAAAAAACAAGCACAGTTCATTTATAACCAGCTTTATTGTGCTCTGGAGGTCAATACAGTACACTGCAATATCACACCCAAAGGACTGACCAGGAAAGGCACTAAAACCTCTGTGTTGCTGCTAATACAGATGAATAGTGGTGGAAGGATGTTGAGGAGTGTGTGTGCACGTGCCTGTGCGTGCGTGTGCTTGTGTGTGGCACAGACGCCTAGTTGTCTTGGAAACGCAACCATGGCAACAGATGCTAAATTAACGTTGGTGGTGGTGGGGCCGAGGAGTAGAGAAACGGTGAATGGCCTTGTGGTGGGTTCCCTACTTGCCAAACAGTGAGTGGGTGGTTTTATGTGAGCTCCGACACTGGGGATGTGCGTCACTCATGCCTGCCAGCCTGACTACCTGGGAGACCAATGAGACGTTATGTAATCATAGAGGGAGGCTGATTTGTGTCAGGGAGGCTTTGATTGGACTCCCTTTAACCCCTGTCATTCACACCACATGGATGCATACAGCTGGGAGGTAACTAGTTACAGGGATATCACATTTACGAAAACATTTTTGTCATTTAGCAGACGCTCTTATCCAGAGCGACTTACAGTTAGTGAGTGCATACATTTTTCATACTGGCCCCCCGTGGGAATCGAACCCACAACCCTGGCGTTGCAAGCGCCATGCTCTACCAACTGAGCTACAGGAGGCTAATCACATGGCTCTAGGGATGATTTGTGTGGGTGTGTGGGTGTGTGCATGTGTTTGTGTGTGTGTGTTTGTGTGTGTGTGTGCGTGCGTGCATGCGTATGTGTGTGTTTGTGTGTGTGTGTGTGTGGGATTGTCTTAGATAACTGTCACCACCCTGCCTCTATCTTGAATCATGCTCCTGCCATTGACCCAACATAAATTGGAAAACATGTCTGTGGAATCAATGTGAGATATGTGTGTGTTAGCATAGCCTTGCCTAAGTGACTGCTGTGTTCAACCCTGCCTGAACCACAGCATGTGTGTGTGTGCGTGTGTGCGTGTGTGTGTGTGCACGTCTCCATCAGCCTGCCCTCTGGGAGGCGGCTTGACTGATAAGGGGATGACAACTGATGTTAAAAAAATAGGACATTTTGATGCTGAAATATTTATGGTCCTCTCTCCGTGGCTGCTGTGTTTGTTTCATTGACTTATTGATCCCATTTTGTATGAGTAGTAGACAATGATAAGCCTGCGGGCAGACAGAGAGAGCTTTACGGCGTACGATATAAGTGATGTTTTTAGCCAATAGAGACATCCATTAGTATTATCTGGTTAGAGATTGTAATTCTCTATCTGTCATCTTTGAATTTGTCTTACTCGTGCTGTTTCCATGGTAATCGGATAAGACACATTTTAAATTAATAATCATATAAGTATAAAAACATAATTACAACACTTGTACTAGAAGTGTAGTATATTTCTTCAGGTGTGGTTTCCAAGTTAGAATCATGTAGTATTTAAATAAATGTACAATTAATATAGAGGAAATTATGTCCTGAAATTATTATGCAGAGACTGAACTGAAGGAAATACAAATACTTTAAATAAATGTACAATTAATATAGAGGAAAATATGTTGTTGAAGCTGCAACCCTGACTCTGCTGAGAATGTAGATTACATTTGACTGCATAGAATCATCAAAATATGCCTCACCAATATGGCAGCCTGTCCTCACCAATATGGCTGCCTCTCCTCACCAAAATGGCTGCCTCTCCTCACCAATACAACACCTCTTCTCGCCAATATGGCTGCCTCTAACGTCCAATATGGCTGCCTCTCCTCACCAATATGGCCGCCTCCCCTCACCAATATGGCCGCCTCCCCTCTCCAATATGGCTGCCTCTCCCTTACCAATATACCTACCATTCTGTCTCCTCCAGGGGCCTAACTCCAGCACTGAGCTGAGCACCATGCTGCTGCCTCGCCCGGTGTCCAGAGAAGAGCTCGTGCGGCGGGGCCGAGCTCTGAGCGGGGCCAGCTACCTCACAGACGCCTTGGAGGGTAAGGGCAAGAGGCCTCTGTACCAGTGTTAATTTTTTATTATTTACTCTAGTTTTAGTCATTTTGAAAAAATAGAATTAAGTCACATTCTTGTCATTTGAATAAGTATTTAGTCTAGTTATTGTCAAAATGACGAAAACAGTGGGCCATTTTAGTCAACTAAATGCCCTTTCATTTTAGTCACATTTTAGTCACATCACATTTGCTTTGCCTCATTAACCTATAGTAAACATAAATCACTGACTTCCATGTGCACACACATACATAGCCTTTTTCTTCATATCATCCTATCGCATGATCTCTTCCCAACAGCCAATTTGGCAGAAGAACACATTACTCTGCAGCAGATCAAAAATCACACCCATTGACATACTGTAGCTACAATATATTGTAATCAAAGTTCTGTCATAAGTAGGGGTCTGATAGGTTGCAGCAACTAACTAGCTAGCATTATCAATATGTTATTACCTGAGCATATATGTTGGGATCTTTCAGATGTCTCTTGAGGCTGGTAGTATTTTTCCCCGTCAACTTGTGGGTGCAAATGCTGTCTTCTCCTGTGGAAACGTTGCATTCGGTCTTGTTTGAATCGACACGATAAGTAAAGTGGCTCCAAACATCGCCCCCTTTTCTACCGGGAGCTTGTACCAACCGGAGAGTAGCCATGGCGTGTGCCTTATTTGCATCAATGATTTGTTACCGCCAGATTGGAGAACGGTTGCCGGGCAGAGAGGTGACTCGTGAATGACCTGGGCATGGTATTTATTTTCCACCAATAACAGCATTGCAACGTTGCAATGAGAAAGCCTTACAATTCTGCTAATGTCATGCATGCTTTTGATTGGAACAAACAAATATCTCTGAAAAGCTCTCAATCTCTCCAAAAACTCTTGTCCAGTCCACTTAATAGTCAGATTTGAGTCACAGAGATAAGTTTCAAGTTTCATGTTTTGAGGTTAAAGTTTTAATGTCACATGCACAAGTACATTTCTTGCAAACTCAAAACCCAACAATGCAATAATCAATAACAAAGTAATACTAGAAAAAACACACGAGAAATAAGAAGCAATAGGAAGAACTGAATAAGTAAGTAAGTAAGCACACTATATACTAGTGGTGTAAAGTACTTAAGTAAAAATACTTTTTAAGTACTACTTAAGTATTTTTTTGGGGTATCTGTACTTTACTTTACTATTTATATTTTTGACAACTTTTACTTTTACTTCCCTACATTCCTTAAGAAAATATTGTACTTTTTACTCCATACATTTTTCCTGACACACCAAAATACTTGTTACATTTTGAATGCTTAGCAGCACAGGAAAATGGTCCATTCACGCACTTATCAAAAGAACATCCCTGGTCATCCCTACTGCCTCTGATCTGGCGGACTCATTAAACACACATGCTTCGTTTGGAAATTATGTCTGAATGTTGGACATCCGTAAATAAAAAAAAGTAGAAAATGGTGCCGTCTGGTTTGCTTAATATAAGGAATTTTACATTATTTATACTTTTACTTTTGATACTTAAGTACATTTCAGCGATTACATTTACTTTTGATACTTAAGTACAGTACCAGTCAAACGTTTGGACAAACCTACTCATTCAAAGGTTTTTCTTTATTTTGTACTATTTTCTACATTGTAGAATAATAGTGAAGACATCAAAACTATGAAATAACACATATGGAGTCATGTAGTAACCAAAAAAGTGTTAAACAAATCCAAATATATATTATATTTGAGATTCTTCAAAATAGCCACCCTTTGCCTTGATGACAGCTTTGCACACTCTTGGCATTCTCTCAGTAAAAATAAAGAAAAACCCTTGAATGAGTAGGTGTGTCTAAATTTTTGACTGGTACTGTATATTTTTGTTCAGTATAGGTGTTTGACGAATATTTGTCACTGTATTTGTCGATGACACTGCTCTGTACTCTATTGTTCACCTCACTGCCTCATTGAGGGACAAATAATCCCTTGAAACAAACATGTGTAACTTAGATTTTGAAACAAATATACAGTGGGGAAAAAAAGTATTTAGTCAGCCACCAATTGTGCAAGTTCTCCCACTTAAAAAGATGAGAGAGGCCTGTAATTTTCATCATAGGTACACGTCAACTACGACAGACAAATTGAGAAAAGAAAATCCAGAAAAGCACATTGTAGGATTTTTAATGAATTTATTTGCAAATGATGGTGGAAAATAAGTATTTGGTCACCTACAAACAAGCAAGATTTCTGGCTCTCACAGACCTGTAACTTCTTCTTTAAGAGGCTCCTCTGTCCTCCACTCGTTACCTGTATTAATGGCACCTGTTTGAACTTGTTATCAGTATAAAAGACACCTGTCCACAACCTCAAACAGTCACACTCCAAACTCCACTATGGCCAAGACCAAAGAGCTGTCAAAGGACACCAGAAACAAAATGGTAGACCTGCAACAGGCTGGGAAGACTGAATCTGAAATAAGTAAGCAGCTTGGTTTGAAGAAATCAACTGTGGGAGCAATTATTAGGAAATGGAAGACATACAAGACCACTGATAATCTCCCTTGATCTGGGGCTCCACACAAGATCTCACCCCGTGGGGTCAAAATGATCACAAGAACGGTGAGCAAAAATCCCAGAACCACACGGGGGGACCTAGTGAATGACCTGCAGTGAGCTGGGACCAAAGTAACAAAGCCTACCATCAGTAACACACTACGCCGCCAGGGACTCAAATCCTGCAGTGAAAGACGTGTCCCCCTGCTTAAGCCAGTACATGTCCAGGCCCGTCTGAAGTTTGCTAGAGTGCATTTGGATGATCCAGAAGAGGATTGGGAGAATGTCATATGGTCAGATGAAACCAAAATAGAACTTTTTGGTCAAAACTCAACTTGTCGTGTTTGGAGGACAAAGAATGCTGAGTTGCATCCAAAGAACACCATACCTACTGTGAAGCATGGGGGTGGAAACATCATTCTTTGGGGCTGTTTTTCTGCAAAGGGACCAGGACGACTGATCCGTGTAAAGGAAAGAATGAATGGGGCCATGTATCGTGAGATTTTGAGTGAAAACCTCCTTCCATCAGCAAGGGCATTGAAGATGAAACGTGGCTGGGTCTTTCAGCATGACAATGATCCCAAACACACCGCCCGGGCAACGAAGGAGTGGCTTCGTAAGAAGCATTTCAAGGTCCTGGAGTGGCCTAGCCAGTCTCCAGATCTCAACCCCATAGAACATCTTTGGAGGGAGTTGAAAGTCCGTGTTGCCCAGCGACAGCCCCAAAACATCACTGCTCTAGAGGAGATCTGCATGGAGGAATGGGCCAAAATACCAGCAACAGTGTGTGAAAACCTTGTGAAGACTTACAGAAAACATTTGACCTGTGTCATTGCCAACAAAGGGTATATAACAAAGTATTGAGAAACTTTTGTTATTGACCAAATACTTATTTTCCACCATAATTTGCAAATAAATTCATAAAAAATCCTACAATATGATTTTCTGGATTTTTTTTTCTCATTTTGTCTGTCATAGTTGACGTGTACCTATGATGAAAATTGCAGGCCTCTCTCATCTTTTTAAGTGGGAGAACTTGCACAATTGGTGGCTGACTAAATACTTTTTTTCCCCACTGTAAGTGCATTATTGATTGATGATCATATTATGATAATGTTCCCACAAACTCTGATAGATGAGGAAATAAACATACTGAACGTGCTGCAGCTTTTTTGCTGAATCATAAACATCATACAGTTACTCCTCCTCGTTTGAACGTCTCTATGATTCAAAGAAACACTGTAAATCAGATCTTCACCCAAGCTCATTTTTAGGACAAACCTCATTCCTGAATCCCAAATCCTAGTCATTCGAAAGCTACTTTATCGCACCTCGGTTAAAAACGACTTGCAAAACGATTAATGTTCAGCAGACAATTCATTGGTGTTCCCCAAGTTCACCCAAGGTTCTCAGCCACTGCTCTCTGTGGACCATCAAGGTGACCATTGTGTGAGCTCAGGATCTCCTCGTATCTACTGAGGCTTGAGGCTGTCCTCAATTGTACACCGTCTGTACCTATGGACTAGATAGAGGGTGACAGTGCGGCAGAAGCCACAGTGCAACACGACACCAACAGGTAAACAAATTAGAGGTATCACGCATTAGAGGGCCTCGCAGCCTCATCCTCAGCCTCCATTGAGCTACCGTCAATCTTCATCAAACTCGTCAGTACGCATGCCTGCACCCAAGCATAGGCCCTACCAACCAACATCTGGAAAAGGCATATTGTGCTAACCTTCCTAAAGTAGCAGAGTACATTACTTAGACACAGAACAGTCTCTTATACCACAAAGGTTGATTTTAAAAAAGTGATGTGACCACCTCTCTCTCCCCCCCCCCCCCCCCCCCCCCTCCTAGAACTGGAGGAGTCGCATCAGAAATGTCACCCCTGCTGGTATGAGTTTGCCCACAAGTACCTGATCTGGGAAAGCAGTCCACGCTGGCTGCGGTTGAAGGCGCTGGTCAAGGTGATGGTGATGGATCCCTTCCTGGACCTAGCCATTACCATCTGCATCGTGCTCAACACCCTGTTCATGGCCATGGAGCACTACCCCATGACTGACGAGTTCAATGGTATGCTGTCCATAGGCAATCTGGTAAGTGGAAACTGGAGAGGGCTCAGGGGTCAACCTTGGCGGTCACAGGTATGCGTTTTTGTTGTTGTTGTTGTTGTTTTTTGCCCACCACCCTCTTTGGAGGGTCTTAGTCAAGGTTCCAGATCAGTTAGTCAGAAAAAAAAACCTATTTGCTCCACTATGTCCTGTGCTGTCACTGAGATGCATGCTCATAGGTCGGCAGGGAATGAATGAGCTGCTGCACAGACACTATCAGCCTAAAATTAAATGTTGATTTATTTTTACATATTCTATTATTTTATATTGCGCTAATTTCATGTACGTGGACATATGTGGATAGTATAGTATGTGTTATTACATTACACAAGCTGACGTTTTGACCACATGGAAATGAGAGGAATTACCTTTTTACCTCAGATCAGTGAAGTTTAGTCCCGCTTTAAATGACGTTCAGCTAGTAAAGGCTTCATAAAGCCTTCATAATGCCTTCATAAGCACTACATAAATGTGTTACAAAGCATCTATAACCATACATCATGCTTTATAAAGGGTTCATAAATGTGGCATAACTGTGTGACATAATTAATCATCTTTACCTCAGGTTAGGACTGTTTGTATAAAAGTTGATATATAATCACGATGGCACAATCGATTGCTTAAAACAGATCAATATCATTGGTTTTGAACCGTTGATTTTGTCATACGCGGTTAGGACTTAGAATTCTGCTTTCATTTTCAAACTCAAATTGCAGGGAAAATTCAGGGCACTGTCTGTATAAAAGTCGCTGGCCTCACACCAATACACAGATTTCAGAGGCAAACTATCACTCAAATAACAGCCAACCCTTGTCACTGTTGATATCCTATGGTGGGTCGTGATTCGTCGTTAAATAACAAATCAATTGATTTGTTCCCTTCCTTTTTTCGGCAGCCTCCCAAAACGTCCCTCCGACATTCTACAATTTAGATGACTGTCTTCAGCAAATTCTCTTCCAACCAGTGATGTCAAAAATATTCTCAGATTCAGTGTGGCATTTGAATAGTGTTAGTTTAATCAGCGCATACAACCCAAACGTTTGCCCCCGCTCTATTTTATTTCAAATTGATATCGATATGAGTAATTGACAAAATAATGTTGCGTTTACCTTTCCGTGTTGGCGACCCACTTCAAAAAAATGCAACAATCCAAAATATAGCTGGCTGTCTTCTACAAGTTGTCCTCTAACCAGTGATATATATGTTATTTCCCAGATTCTGTGTGCTTTTTCAGTAGTGTTAGTTTGAACAGGACGTGTAACCTGACTCCCTCCTCTCATTCTATTAATTTAATGTGATATTGATAAGAGTGATTGATAAAAAAGTGTTGCGTTTTTGCCGACCCCCAAATCAAAATGAATCACTTCAAAATATAGCTGGTTGTCTTCAGCAGGTTGTCCTCTAACGAGTAATGTTAACAATATTTCTAGTTGCCATGTGGTTTTTGAGTTGTTTTAGTTTCAACAGCACATACAACCTGATTTCACCATAATCAATATGAGTGAACTATTGCCACAAATGTTTTGGTGCTCGCAAAACTAAATACAAGTAATATGATTACTATTGTGGGAAAAAAAGTATTTAGTCAGCCACCAATTGTGCAAGTTCTCCCACTTAAAAAGATGAGAGAGGCCTGTAATTTTCATCATAGGTACACGTCAACTATGACAGACAAATTGAGATTTTTTTCTCTCCAGAAAATCACATTGTAGGATTTTTAATGAATTTATTTGCAAATTATGGTGGAAAATAAGTATTTGGTCACCTACAAACAAGCAAGATTTCTGGCTCTCACAGACCTGTAACTTCTTCTTTAAGAGGCTCCTCTGTCCTCCACTCATTACCTGTATTAATGGCACTGGTTTGAACTTGTTATCAGTATAAAAGACACCTGTCCACAACCTCAAACAGTCACACTCCAAACTCCACTATGGCCAAGACCAAAGAACTGTCAAAGGACACCAGAAACAAAATTGTAGACCTGCACCAGGCTGGGAAGACTGAATCTGCAATAGGTAAGCAGCTTGGTTTGAAGAAATCAACTGTGGGAGCAATTATTAGGAAATGGAAGACATACAAGACCAATGATAATCTCCCTCGATCTGGGGCTCGCAAGATCTCACCCCGTGGGGTCAAAATGATCACAAAAACGGTGAGCAAAAATCCCAGAACCACACGGGGGGACCTAGTGAATGACCTGCAGAGAGCTGGGACCAAAGTAATAAAGCCTACCATCAGTAACACACTACGCCGCCAGGGACTCAAATCCTGCAGTGCAAGACGTGTCCCCCTGCTTAAGCCAGTACATGTCCAGGCCCGTCTGAAGTTTGCTAGAGTGCATTTGGATGATCCAGAAGAGGACTTTTTGGTAAAAACTCAACTCGTCGTGTTTGGAGGACAAAGAACGCTGAGTTGCATCCAAAGAACACCATACCTACTGTGAAGCATGGGGGTGGAAACATCATGCTTTGGGGCTGTTTTTCTGCAAAGGGACCAGGACGACTGATCCGTGTAAAGGAAAGAATGAATGGGGCCATGTATCGTGAGATTTTGAGTGAAAACCTCCTTCCATCAGCAAGGGCATTGAAGATGAAACGTGGCTGGGTCTTTCAGCATGACAATGATCCCAAACACACCGCCCGGGCAACGAAGGAGTGGCTTCGTAAGAAGCATTTCAAGGTCCTGGAGTGGCCTAGCCAGTCTCCAGATCTCAACCCCATAGAAAATCTTTGGAGGGAGTTGAAAGTCCGTGTTGCCCAGTGACAGCCCCAAAACATCACTGCTCTAGAGGAGATCTGCATAGAGGAATGGGCCAAAATACCAGCAACAGTGTGTGAAAACCTTGTGAAGACTTACAGAAAACGTTTGACCTGTGTCATTGCCAACAAAGGGTATATAACAAAGTATTGAGAAACTTTTGTTATTGACCAAATACTTATTTTCCACCATAATTTGCATATAAATTCATTACAAATCCTACAATGTGATTTTCTGGATTTTTTTTTCTCATTTTGTCTGTCATAGTTGACGTGTACCTATGATGAACATTTTTAAGCGGGAGAACTTGCACAATTGGTGGCTGACTAAATACTTTTTTTCCCCACTGAATGTGTAGGTAATACATTTTATGATTAGGTTTTCAATATATCATAAACTGTTTCTGCATATTGCTTATTGATTTGGACACTTAAAAACTGTGTTTTGATATTGGGCTATTTATCAAAAGCTATTGTCAACGGGAACCAGCAACAGCATCATTTTCAACGTATGTTTTAAGAATATAAATGGAACCTTCAACATGAAATTCCAATAGTATTCTACTAAATTAGGTAATAACTGCTGAATGAGGCCAACATTTTTATTTATTTTGATGATCTACCAGAAATCATGAAAACTGTTTTTTAGAATGGGTTTGTGTGGAGATCTGAGAAGACTGTTACATGTACAGTGCCTTCAGAAAGTGTTCACACACCTTGACCTTTTTCACATTTTGTTTTGTTACAGCCTGAAGTTAAAATGGAGTAAATTCAGATTTTGTGTCACTGATCATACAAAATACCCCATAAAGTCAAAGTATAATTTTTTGTAAACAAAGCTGAAATGTTTTCAGTCAATAAGTATTTAACCCATTTGTTATGTCAGGCCTAAATAAGTTCAGGAGTAAAAATGTGACATAATAAGTCACATAATAAGTTGCTTGGACTCACTCTGTGTGCAATAATAGTGGTTAACATGATCTTTGCATGACTACCTCATCTCTGAACCACACACATACAATGATCTGTAAGGTCCCTCAGTCGAGAAGTGAATTTCAGGCACAGATTCAACCACAAAGACCAGGAAGGTTTTGCAATGCCCCACAAAGAAGGGCACCTATTAGTAGATAGTTTAAAATAAAATAAAACAGACATTGAATATCCCTTTGAGCATGGTGAAGTTATTAATTACACTTTTGATGGTGTATCAATACACCCAGTCACTACAAAGATACATGCGTCCTTCCTAACTCAGTTGCCGGAGAGGAAGGAAACCACTCAAGGATTTCACTGTGAGGCCAAATGTCATTTTAGTTACAGAGTTTAATGGCTGTGATAGGACAAAACTGAGGATGGATCAACAACATTGTAGTTACAACATTGTATTCCAAAACAAACTTCCTGTTTGCAATAAGACACTAAAGTAATACTGCAAAAAATGTGGCAAAGAAATTAACTTTTTGGCCTCAATTCAAAGCATTATGTTTGGGGCAAATCCAACACAATACATCACTGAGTACCACTCTTCATATTTTCAAGCATGGTGGTGGCTGCATCATGTTATGGGTATGCTTGTCATCGGCAAGGACTTGGTAGTTTGTTGTGGGATAAAAAATAAATAGAATAGAGCTAAGCACAAGCAAAAATCCTAGAGTAAAAACTGGTTCAGTCTGCTTTCCAAAATACACTGGGAGACAAATTCACCTTTCAGTAGGACAATAACCGAAAACACAAGGCCAAATATACACTGGAGCTGCTTACCAAGACGATAATGAATGTTCCTGAGTGTCCTAGTTACAGTTGAGTTTGGACTTAAATTGGCTTGAAAATGGCTGTCTAGCAATGATCAACAACCAACTTGACAGAATCTGAAGAATTTCTTAAAGAATAATGGGCAAATATTGTACAATCCAGGTATGCAAAGCCCTTAGAGATTTACTCAAAAACACTCACAGCTGTAATCGCTACCAAAGGTGATCCTAAGATGTGTTGACTCAGGGGGTTGAATACTTATCTAATCAAGATATATTAGTGTTTATTTATCATGATTTAAAAATATTGTATATTGTGTGAGTATTGTGTGCAGATCATTGATAAAAATGACCATTAAATACATTTTAATCCCACTTTGTAACATAACAAAATGTGTAAAAAGTCTTATAGATCCACCGTGCTAGGTGGAACTTTGGGGATATTGATTACCCCTGAAAATCGGTCTCATATCCTCACAAGTGCATAGGGCGTAGGGGCTAAGGGTTCATTTGGGATAACAACAGT